GTTGTTACTGTTTTCTTAGTTTCTCTTGATTTTTTTTTTGAAAAGAGGAAGAAAGAGAAACAGTGTGGATTTGGGTAGGGTGGGAAAGATCTGGGAAGAGGAGGGAGAGGAGAAAGTGTATGATCAAAACATTTTGCATGGAAAAACTTTGATAATAAACAGATTCATTTTTAAAAACCCTCACAACCACCTGTAGCACCAGCTCCGGGGAGTCTGACACCCTTTTCTGGCCACATGCACATACACAGTCACAGACAAACACACGCATACACGTTTTTTGTTGTTGTTTTGAAATGCCTTATGTTACCTCAGTTCCGTCCCTTGTGTCTCCCAACTCAGTCCCATTTTCGTGTAAATGTACTGCCACTGAAACATTGTTTGTTCCCATGCTGCTCAGCTCTCTACCTGGGGCAGCTTTCTTCTCCCTCCTTGGTTACAGAGCACAGCCATGTTACTCTTCTGACACTCTCCACTATTGGCCGAATTGCCAGTGTAAGTCCTGCCTGCTTCTGTTGACTGGCTTTGCTCCTTATTGGCCATGGCAAGCTGTATCACAGTGCCGTAACAAAATACATGACATGAAACATCTGAGGGAGGCGGGACTTGTTTTGGCCTTTGTCTTGAGGGGATGTAGTCATCCTTGCGGGGAGGTTATGGCAGCATGGATGATCACGTGGCACCCATAGTCAGGGGGCAGAGAGAGATGAAGGCTGGTGTTCTAACAGCTGTCTCCCTTTAACTCAGCACACCGCCCAGCCAATGGGACTGCGTTGTCCCCGTTTAAGGTGGGTCTTAACACCTCGATGAATGTACTCTAGAAAATCGTATACGAGCCTAGGTATCTGTTTCAAGTTAACAACCCAGATTAACCGTCACAGTTGCTTCTTTGCACAACTGGAAACGTGGCTAAATGAAAGACGTAATGTGTTATTTCTCACTGGGTGGATATTCTGTATTCAGATATCCATTGTTGCAGTTTAATCTGTGATATTGCTAAGTGAGTTGAGTTTTGGGAGGCTTACATTTAACCTCTGCTAGACACAACGTGTGTGTGTGTGTGTGTGTGTGTGTGTGTGTGTGTGTGTAGCTTGCTATGTGGTGCCGAGATCTAAACTCCAGTTGGCACGACTGCACAGCCCGTGCTCTAAACCTCTGAGCCGTCTCCCCAGGTCCTCTAACAACTTTTTAATAGACTCCTACTAGGTTTTCAATGCGAATTTCTGTAATGGTTAACTGTGTTGACACTTCCTGCATGTGTAACTTGCTCTGCTTACAGTCTGTGTGTTTTGTTTGGTGAAGTGTCTTTGTCTGTTCACTTTACTGAGCCATACATTTTATTCCGATTGAGTTCTGGAAATGAAAACTATATAATAAAGTCCTTTATTTGATATATAAACCACAGTGTTATTTTTAATGCATGCTTCTTAATTTTCATTTATTTAAAGGATTCCCTATAAGGTTCAGTGTTCTTAATTTAAGTGGAAATAAATTTGTAATTTTTCACTCAATCGTGTTTTAGAAATAGTATTTAACAATCCTTTGCCTACATAATAATATGTATGTTTTTGAAAGTTAAAACGTTTTATATTTAGCTTATAGGTCTGTGATTCAGTTGGAGATTTTATATATATGTTATATAAGGTTGTATTATATACAATAAAATATGTTACATATTATGTAAAATGAAATTACATCTTTAATTTTATTAAAATTAATAGTATATACAGTATATGTGTCCCCTTTCACCCATTACCTTTTTATGTATTCCTCCTCCTCTGGATTTCTTTGCATGGTTCCTGAAAAGTCAACTGAGGTTGAATGGGCTAATTTGTTCAATGGAGGACTGAAGCAGAAGTATTAAACTACACACATTTAGGGATGTCCTGTGATATTTTATTGAGGGAGAAATCACTTACGTGAACATCCAAGAAAGCTGAGAACCAAAGGTCCCTACGCTGCTCTCCAGGACGAAACCGAAACCCAAAGAGAGAGTCTCCTCCCCCTCACTGTATTTACCCCGTACATATGTTCTACGTACTGGTGAACACACCCACACGGGAGTGGTCAGCGCTTACGAATACATAAAAATCACTCCCTACAGAGGACATTTCAAGATAGCATAATATCCAGGCTACGGCATGGTGATTGGCCACAACTTTTGCTGGGGTTTATAGTGAAAAGCACAGTAGGTGAAGCAGAACCATGTGAGAATAGACAATTTGGCGATGAAACGGATGGGAGCGAATTTATAAATTGCAGCCAAAGCAAGGCGCGATGGTTGAGGAGACTGCCATGCCTGAAGAGGAACCAGGAGCTTCACACTGGGGCACATGGAAAGATCTGCTGAGGGCCAGAGCTCATCTTCTGGAGGGAGGCTCTAGCACATGGAAGCACAAATCTGGGGATTTGTACAGAGAGCTCAGCAGCCGAAAGAAAGCACTTGCTGCTCTTCTATAAGGCCCACGGTCAGTTCCCAGCACTCATTTCACAAGCACCTGCAACTCTGGCTTCGTGGAATCTAATGCTCTCTTTTAGCCTCCACAGACATTTGCACGTATGTGTTTCATGGGCACACAGACAGGGTTCTATACATATGAAGATTACAATGCGAATTCACTTGAAAGGCAAGTGTCTCCTGAGAAAAGCCACCCAGGGTAGCCTTTTCCCAACTCATGCAGCTATGGTCTGATGGCAGAAGAACTCATTGCTGTCTGTGGCGTGCTGGTTTTGCAGGCGTAACATCACTTTCATATTCTCGAAGTCCCAGAAAGTCAAGGAGACACAGTAGGGTCAGATTCCCATCTTAATGCTCCCGAGTGGGCTCTGTGTGAGCTGTGAAGGTCAAATCCAGGTCTCAAAGGAGACCCCAGAAGGTCATAGGTAAGATTGAAGGGATATTTTACAGTGGATTGACTTTCCCATTGTAATACGGTAGTGGCCAATGGGGACAAGTTATGGTTGCATGTAAAGTGTCTCTGATAGACCCATGTGTCTGAACACCTGATCACCACATGGTTGCCCTGAGTCCTCAGAATGAGCCTGGCAGTTTGCTTTTCCTTTCTAGGTTACGGACTAGTTTGGAAGCTTGAGGCAAGAGAAACATAAGCCTGAGGCCAACCCAGCCCCTACCATTATTACTGGCTAAACGTTTCATTCTGGGGTCTTGTCTTCTCAAAGAAGACAACAGACACAGGTCATTTAAAGATATATATTTAAAACAATTTAAATTTATGTGTGTGTGTGTGTGTGTGTGTGTGTGTGTGTGTTGATTGTACTCAGCCCATATAAAAGTACCAAGAGAGACCAAAAGAGAGTATAAGATCCCCTGGAACTAGAATTATAGGTGGTTGCATAACATCAGACTTGGGGGGCTGGGAAATGAACTCAGGTGCTTTGGAAAAATATCAAGAGCTCTTAATCATTGATCCATCTTTCTAGATCTGACACAGACAATTTAGACAGAAAAGTAACCAAATGAAACATAATTCAGGGAAGATTAAAATGGGCTGACCAAAAGAGGATATGTGATGGCCTACTGGGTTCTGTGTTATGGATTTTTAAGGTTTATGAATATTTATAATGTAGGAGGCATATTCATGAGGATAAGCTGACCCCTTCTCCTTCTTAAGTCACGGTAGACCAGATCTCCCTCTACGCTGATTCTTTCCATGATCATCTTGAAAAGCTCTTGGGAAAGGTAATCAAAACCATAATAGAAAGGATACAAGAAAACCAGGCCTAAGATTCTCTCTGTCTCTCTGTGTCTCAAAATCTTTGCCCTACTTGGTCTCACAGTGAAAGCCTGTCTCTAAAGAGAAAACAGAACAGTGTAAAACAAGATAAAGAAACTGATATCCAAAGATGAAATAAAACAGCAATGCAAGAGAAAAAGAAATACAGCATCATATTTAAAAATTTAAAGTGATCAGGCATGATCAAAATATCAATAGAAAAACCAACAAGGAAATAAAACACAACAGTACAGGCCAGTAGTAAGAAAGAGGGTGGTTTCCCGTCCTCCAAGAGGCCAGTACCATGGGAAACAGCTACCAGCCTTTTCCTATACTGACCAGCCATTCTCTGTGGATGCTTGGACCCTGTGGCACTATTCGATCTTTCCTGTCAAGGTCTCATTCTGCAACTCCAGGTTTTATGCCAATTCTTGTTTTAACTTTGACTGGGAGGGTGGGGAGATGAGCCACTGGGCTAGAGCACCGTGAAAGCATGAAGACCTGAGTTCAAACCCTCAGCGTTCCATAAAAACACAGCTTGGTGGCACATGGCTGGAGCTGTCAGTGTCAAAGAGACAGAGACAGGAGACTTCTGAGAGCCCGCTGCCCCGCCCAGATCAGCCCAGGAGAAAGAGCCAGCTTAGTGTCAATTAAATACTGTCTCAAAAGACAAGATGGAGGGAGACAGACGAGGACTCAATGTTCTCCACTGGCTCACATGCACATATACCACACACACTACACACACACACACACACACACTCACACACACACACACTCACACTCACACACACACACCACACACCATACACACATACAAACACACACACATACACACCACACACCATACACACATACAAACACACACACATACAAACACACACACATACATACACACACACCACACACACATACATACACATACACACACTCACTCACACACACATACACACACACCATACACACATACAAACACACACACCACACACACACATACATACACACCACACAAACACACACTCACACACACATATACACACACCACACACACTCACACACACACATACACACACCACACACACATACACACCACACACACTCACACACACATACACACACACCACACACACATACATACACATACACACACTCACACACACATACACACATACCACACACACACACACATACATACACACACACCACACACACACACATACATACACATACACACTCACACACATACATACACATACACAGACACATGAGTGAAATTTTTAACATGTTTTTTAAGTTGGAAAAAAATCATTCATAATTAACAAATCATTGTTTATACTTATGTGATACATATGCTATTTTGTTATAGGTCTGCATTGCATTTTGATTAAAAGCTAACTAACATCTGTTGCTGTGTATTCATTACTTTTTGCATTAAGAATGTGTGAAATTTACCTTCAGTTTTGAGATTCCTTGTGGTTTCTCAGAACTATTATTAAATTACCCTGTTTATCTAATTACCCGTCATGCAGTCTCTTGAAGAAGGAACCACGTCTGCCTGTGTGCTTGGTCATTTTGTGCACTGCATTTAATTTTCTTGTATAACTATCACTTCAATATGAGATGGATCATGATAATGCCACGGTTATCTTGATCCTGGTGTATCTACACCTAGCAAAAATGCCCGGCAGGGCCGTACGACCTTCTGATGTTGTGACAGATGGTATCACCTGTAAGTGTGCAGTTAGGGCAGGAGAGATGGCTCAGCGGTTAAGAACACTTGCTCTTGGCAGAGGACCAGTACTCATACCGGTGAGCTCACAACCACCTGAAACTCCAGTTTCCAGGAATCATACGCCCTCTTCTGGCCTCCGCAGGCACTGCGCGAATTTACTCCAGAAACTGACTCCTTCCTAAGGAGTGGATGTGTTACTGCCTGACACTGGGGGACACTTTGGTTCTCTGACAGAAGTCTTGGTCTTGATTTTTTGGAAAGAGCCCTGCTTTTTGCTGGGCTTCTTGGCAGACAGCAGGGATGAACTCGGATGCGTCTCTCAACAGTGATGTCCCTGGCATTTTTAGGAAAGGCAAGCACTTTTCCAACTCTCTCCAGGCCACAGCGGTGTGTTTTTATCTTGCACTATTCCTCAGTTGAGAACTACCTTCAGAGGGCCTCTGATGGTTTTGAATGCACACCTTGAGGCCAGTTACTCAGTCCTCTTGAAGGGCCTCTGCCCAGAAAGAACTTACTCTTTAACTGAGAGCAGCCCTGGGGAAGATAAAGTTACCACAGAATGTTGGCTCTGCATGAAATCCTACAGACAAAGGCAAAACTTCCTTGTATGTAAGATTCTCTTAGTTCAAGAGAACATGTGCCATATCCAGCCCATTGAGGAAGTTTGTAGCGTTTTCCATCCGCTCTGCTGAGCTTTGTATGAGACAAAAAAAAAAAAAGGTCAACGTTAGCATTTACATACCAGAAAAGGGACGAGCCTTCCAGATGGGCCACACCTGAGACCTTCAGCCTTGTTATCTCTCTGGTGTTTCCTACTTAGTGTTTTATGAAAGAATCTGAATGTGAGGATTGCCCCAAGCCAGGTGACTTTATATACTTCTCAGTCATGGATCACCACTCCCCTATACGTGGGCAACATTATTTTGGGACGATAGCAAGATGGAGGGGAAAAATCTGGAATTAAGTCCAAAGAGTTGAAGTTAATTACCAACTGAATGGACCACATGGACACTCATATACTATTTGTTGGTTATATGAAGGTCAAATTTAAACTAGATGGTCTAGGTCTTATCTGTTAGCTCTATGTGTAGGGAATCTGTGTGACATAAAAAAGGGTCTACTAATCCCCAACAGGAAATGGACAACATACCAGGTATAATTTTTCCAGATGGTGACTGCACAATTTCAAAGAAGCCCATCAGGTCAGAGCCTCCTCCAGACAACTTGAAAGAGATGACTCTCCTGATGGGGGAAGTTCTTCTGTGTATATGTTGTCTTATTGGTTGATAAATAAAGCACTGTTGGCCAATAGGGAAACAAGATAGGTGGGACTAGTAGTCGAGGAGGATTCTGGGAAATGTAGTCAAGAGTAGAGAGTCGCCATGTGATCCTGGGAAGAGAGGATGCATGAGGCTGGTGTCCTCAGTAAGAAAAGGCCTTATAGAAATATATACATTAGTAGTTATGGGTTAATACTTAAGAAAGAACTAGCCAATGAGAAGCCCTGGACACTGGCCAACAGGGTTGTAACTAATAGTCTCTGTGTGTTATTTGGGGTTGACATGGCTCAGGGACCAAGCTGGCGGGAAAGAGTACACATGACAGTATCCCATCCCCAGAATATTGCACAGCTTCATAACATGAGGAGGGACATAGAGACTCTTCTGGTGTCCACTTTCCTGCACTTGTGAGGTTAATTTACTTCCTGAATCTCATGAGCCTCCATCCACCTTCCCAGAGGGATTGCTTCAGTATGGACGAAATTGCCACAAAATGAAAGTCCTTCAGTCCCGCTGAACCATGGTGTTTCCAAGCCTGTGAGATCCCAAGGTAGCTTGATGTCTGAATCTATTGCTAATCATACACCACCACAGACTGAGTAAGTTATGAAGACAAGAATCTTGTTTGAGCTCATGGCTCTCGTCCAAGTTCAAGAGGCCATGTCTGGAGACTTTCTTCTTGCTGACCAAGGTGGTAGAGGGTGGAGCACGAGAAGGCAGTCCGGCCGGGTGTGGCCGACAGCAGACCCGCTCTGGAGACAGCCCATTCACCCATTAAACCACAGATTAGTCTGCTCGTGATGGCAGAGCCCCCATCACATCCTAAAGGCTCTATCTGGTGCTGCACCATGACGTTTTACAGTGAGGAGTAAATTTCAACATAGAACCTCGGCAACTTAGATCCACGTTCAAGTGATGGTACCTGAATATCTAGAGCAGTGTGGATACAGTTCTCTTAGCAACTCTAGAGAATGACGCCAGCATCCCTAGGAGCTACTTCTGGGGTGTTTGGATGGACCACACCGTCACAATTGTCTAGGTAGAGCACACCAAGAGTTCGTTGCCCCTCACCTTAGACTGGAGAATAAATTGTCTCATGCCGTCATCCTCTTCTAACAGAATATTCCTTTGTGCTTCAGGTTGTTTGCTGCTCTTGCCCAGTGAGTCACAGCCAGGAAGAAAGGCGATGATTGTTTATTCACAAAAGAGTCTCCTCGAGGAAGCGTTCCTCAGAAGGGCTGGCCCTTGGGCTATGATGAAAGCCCTGCTCTGTGTAACACTTACCCAGAATCTAATAGGAAATGAAAGCAAACGTGATGAGAACCTTATGAATAGGAAATGCTGTTAGCAGATCTCACCCCTACAGCCTAGACCCATTGACTTTAAATGCCACGGCGCTTATGGGAACGAGGCGAGGTACCTCTTAGAAACCCTTAAACTGTGTTTGTGGAGAAGTCAGCTGGTTTCTCACCCCCACATAAGACTGGACTCAATATAGACAAGAATTATGCTTCTCCGCTCAGCGGTACACTTTTTGACGTGCTTACATCTTAGTAACACGATCGGTGTACACAGGTCATACTTAGCTCAAAAACTGTGATGTATTTGTGCCCTTAAAACATAAACAACATCTTGAAATCAGACATGGTAGTTCCGGTGCCACGTTCCCTCAATAGCATAATCAGCGCGGGCCAGACAGAGCTTCTGCAGAAAGTTCTGGATATCTGTGTCTCCACCACTCTCACTGCTCACACTCAACACATTTTTTCTCAGCCACACGTAACCACCAGGCTTCGTTCTTCTTGTCCCAATACCAATTCCACCGCACCCACCGGAGCCCAGGCAGCTTTCTTCACCCCTTTGAGCTGTCAGTGATCTCTTTGTTCGCTTGTGCAACACATTGACAGTGAGCGCTTGTTGCACGCCAGATGCATGGTTTAGTGTGTCTAGATTTTTCACGGAATACGAATCACTTTTCTCATTGCTGTGACCAGACACCTGACTGAAAGAAACAAGTTGAGGAAGGAGAGCCTTATTCTGACTTCTATCTGAGGCTACCATTCCATGAGGGTGGGAAGGCATCGCAGCAGGAGCATAAAGTGGGCGATCACACGACACCCACAGTTAGGAAGCTGAGAGAGATGGATGCTCACAGTCTCCTTCATATCAGCCCAGGAACCCAGCCCACAGAAGACACGCACTGGGTTGTCCCACCTCCGTCAACCCCATCTGGAAACTCTCTTGTAGGCATGCCCAGAGCACTGTCTCCCGTGTGAGACTTCATCCTCTTTATTTGAATATTAACCGTCACACACGGGCATTAAGCATGTGCAGCTATGGCCTCAGGAAAGGCGCTGCGTTCTCGGGAAGGCTGGCACACTATGCATATAGCGCAACACAGCGCCCAAGGAAACAGAAGGAGTAGGAAGTGACAGTGTAGGCAAGGAGGACTGTCACGCTCTGGAGGAGTGGCCCAATGAGGACTCAGCTTCGGAGCAAAGCAAGTCTAAGTATCCTAACACGGCATCAGTCTCTGAAGTACAAAGGAACTGATGCATACGTGTGGACACAGGGGAGCAGGCTTGGGGTGGGCTGTTTAAGGAGGTTCGCAAGGGCCCTAGGAGCATTCATGTGACAGATCCTAGACAGACAGGCCATGATTCATGGGACTACCTGGGCCACACCTAACAGTGGAATTCTGTGGCTGTGCACTGGACTAGGATAATATAGTCTTATTCAGGGAGAAGTCACTTTCACAAGAAGCCAGTAACCCTCAAGTTCCAGCTCCAAGGATCCATGCTCAGCTGCTCTCAGTGACCAGACCGGAACCAAGAGAGAGCAAGCCTGTCCCGGACCAAATCCCACACGCTCACATACACACCTGTGACCACATCTAAACGGGCATGGTCAGTGCCACAGGTGCGTAGTTAGGTCTCTCACTACAGAAGTCTCAGATGAATGGTCTGTGGGAAGCCTGGCCCCTGGGATGGAGAGTCGGAGAGCCAAGGAGGCTGTTTACAACGTCTTGAGCCAACAAAGCACGTAGCCCTTCAAGGCACGGAGCAGAATGAACCAGACAGAGATCCGCTTCTAATTCCAGCGTGATTCACGGTAGCTCAGCATAGCTCTGGCTCAACCTCCAGTAAAGGAGGAGTCAGAATAATGGAGCCAGCACTACCCCCTCCTAGGCGCCTGCCTCAAAGGTGACAAGGAGGAAGGTGAGGGGCAGGCACAGTGATTCTTGTCACAGGCACATTAATTATTGTATAGTCTTCTAATTGCACAAGCTACCTGCTCTCTCCATGGTGACTGTCAGGGATAGTGTGCTTATTATGCTCCTTCTTGTTCTCAATGACTGTAAATGAATTTCTGCAGAACCACCAAAACCCAGGAAGATTTGCAATGTATTAACTTTCATCTAGTTTAATGAAATTGTCTCAGCAGGTAAATCCAAGCTGCCTAGTATTCATGATTTTTGTTTTTGAGACAGGGTTTCTCTGTATTGTTTTGGAGGCTGTCCAGGAACTCGCTCTGTAGGCCAGGCTGGCCTTGAACTCACAGAGATCCGCCTGCCTCTGCCTCCTGAGTGCTAGGATTAAAGGCGTGTGCCACCAACGCCCAGCTGTTCATGAGTTTTTTATAGCTATTGCTTTATAAATAATCCTTTTTTTGCTTTTCCTTTCTTCGGCTGCCCATGTTCCCCCGTTTCGATCCCATTCTACCTTGAGAGGCAGCCTGTACTCTGCACCTCTGTTGGGCTGTTTCTAGTTATGAGAAGAAAGCTTCCAGAGATCCGGGGAGATATATTTGCAACATCTCTCTGCAAACATGCCCGTTTAGTCGTAAATGCGTAGGAGTAAAGCAAGGCAAGAAATTCACAGCCACGCCTCCTCGCGTGAACACGACACAGAGAATCGGGACTCTCTTTTTGCAGGCTCTTAGTCCTATTGATGCAATAATTTGAAAACTGACTAGACAGAGTTCCAGGGCCATTTTACTAGAGCGTCTGATAATAATAACAACAGGTCAGGTGACTGTAAAAACTAGAAGCTCCTGAGAGAGGGAAGACGGAGGAAGGAAGGAAGTTATATATAAGGCCTCTGAGTTAGTGTCCTCAAGCAAGTGTAGACCAGGGGGAGGGAGTCTTCACAGAACCATGAAGAAATCAGTGTCTGGGCAAGCATGCTTAGGGTTGTGGTTGGTGTTCAAAGAAGATGTTAAGAAGGGGAAAAGCAAAAGTTAAGACTTTTGAGTTAGCGCTCAGGAAACCCAGCCATGTTTATCAGTGAGTATCTGTCAGGAATTGCCTGGAGGCAGGAACGCCAGGGTATCCAATCTGTTATCTCGTTAGAGGACTCATTATTCCTCCCATTTCCTTAGCTTATTTTCGTGTGAATCAGCTTCCCTCCCAGGTGTGTTCTCTTGGTCAGGTGATAGCAGATGCAACAAATCAACTCTGAAGGAGACATATCACATGTGTGTAAGCTTCTAATCTCTGAGGCAGATCAAACATCTTGTTTCTGCCTAAGGCTAATGACAGAACTGCCAATCTATTCTTTTGACCAGGAGAAAGTAGATTTCCCATAACATGGCTCGACAATGCCCAGACATCTCTACATTATGGGACATAATTCCCAAAGTTGGTTATGAGAGAGAAGTCTGTCTTAATAGTCTCCAAGCCTACTAATATCAAACAAACAAGCAAACACATTTTCTTTTCCTTTTCCACTGGGTCCAAATGGTCTTGAATTAGGAATATCCTCTTTTCTTTTTAAAGAGGGAAACATTATCTCATTATTTTGTAGGATTTTCATAGATTGCTATAGTTAGATTTTTGTTGTTGTTTATAGTTAGTAGGAACCTTACTGTGAGTTGAAGAGAGGGTCAAGAGATAGGCTTTCGTTACTCAGCTCATCTAAGTTTCATAGCCTGCATGCCTCTAGTAGATGCTGGATTGGGTGATGGTGTGATTTAAATGGCCCCTCACAGGGCTCACTGTCCCATGCAGTACTCTGGAGAGTCAAGTCCATGGTAATAATGAGAGAGA